TGATCATTGGAGTGAAGGAGAAAGTTGTCCTAAACAGAACAACAGACTGTCCCTTCTTAATGGCACTTCAAAGCTCCTCGGACAGGAAAATTGATAATTGTGTCAAGTACAGTTTTTCTAAACTTCATCATTTAGGGCTGAAAACTGGGCTATTGAATTCACATAGTTCTTTGATCAAGACCAGTTAATTAAGTTATTCCCTTGATATGACTCTTATCATTTCAGTGCCAGACCTACATCACACTTATGCAATTTACATCCTGGCTTTGATATGCATCGTATAAGCTTCCCAGACCAAAATCAGGGGTTTTCTGCAGATTCCCTGCTACCTTGCCAGCTTCACCAACAGGATGGGTTACAGGTCAGTTATTGACAGAGACTGTGCACCCCAGAAGGTTCCTGGGTTTCTCTGCTCCATGCAGTTTTCAGTATCTCCTGTCATTCTTTCCCACCTGATAGTTCCTGACCCTCCATCTTCACAGCCATCTTCCACTCACCCTCTGTTTCTGACCAACCATCCAGGGCCTCTTTCAGCAAATCCTCCTCCTCCTCCTCCACACTTCTGCTTTCCACAGGAGAGTGACAAGCTCCAATTTAGGTCTCCACAGTTTTTCTTGGGCTTATCCCCTTAAACCGGATTAGCTAACGTCTTAATGCCAGTGACACCAGTCACAGCTCACCATCTGATCCTGCCTTTCAGGATTTGCTGCATCTATGCACTTTCTATTGCTAAACCAGATCCTCTGATCTTCCCTTCCAAGCCCCTCAACTCCCCCTCACCATCACCCTGCCACGGTGGCCTGCTCATTTCACTCCTCATATTGAAGGGATGCTCAGATCTCCTCGTTTCCTCACCCAGCACCTCAAGGGTCTGAACTATCCCAACTCGCTGGTAGCCTTTGCACTTTCCCTGTTTTCATACYTAGAGCTTTCTCTTCCAGRCTRTYTCCYTCACTTTGAGACACAGCCTTCCTGRAAAACTCACAGCACCCCTACTTTGGGCCTGCCTTTTCTTCTTTATCAGATACAAGATCTTGAGGCTTTCTTCCCCGCTGCCATTTACAAACAAACCAGACCACATGGTGATTCCTCTTGTGTTTTTTAAACCCCCTTCACAGACCCCATCCTTTCCAAGCACTCCTTCACTCTCCACCCATCTTCACTGCGAGATGGAGATGCTGCTGCTGTTACTCTCCATGCAGCTGTGCTGAGCAGTTTACTCAGGAATTCCTTTTCTTCCCACCTCCACCCTTTTRCCCTAGACAGCTCATAAACATCTTAGGGTAAAACCAAGAATTTTGTCAAACCCTCTGTCCTGACCATCTCTGTATTCCTGAATTTCAGCTAGTCCCCTGCTGTCTGGGTGGAGGTGAGTGACTCTTTTTGGCTTTCAGGGCAAGGACCAGCCTCCATCTCCTAAAGAGGTTCTGCACCTCTTTAGGTCACCCACTTGTGTCCGAGATAGGAGATGGTGTGATCTGCAACTCTCCATCATGGTTCTGCCTTGCTGGGATGTGGTGGAGGAACCACTGGGAGCAGAGTGAAGGAAACACAGGCAATGGTGAGCCCTGGTGTTGGCCAGCTCAGTCCCATGACACCTCTGGGTGCTCCCCAGCATCCTCACCACGGCTCATTCTGGTTCCCAGCTCACGGTGTGATGYACAAACCAGTCACGTTCTCTGTATCGATCAGGCTGTCCCTCCACACACGTTCCTTTTGTCCCCCCTAAAAAAAAACCCCAACTGAGAAGAGTCACCAGCTGGAGTTTAATTTCAGACTCCAAGGCATATCTGGAGCCAATTTGCAATGCGCTTACTCCGAAAATCGCCCTCCCCTGTGACGCTTGACAGCTCCAGACCACAGTCCTGCTCTCAGCTCCGAAGGAAAAATGTTTTAATTTGTCACAAACCAATTATAGCGTCTCATCTATCCCTGAATTACTCATCTTGGCTACAGTCTAGGACAAAGGGCCCCTCTGAGAGGAGATTAGACATGGATATTAACAAGAGAAAAAGTGTCCACTGTCTCACCTTGCTGGGGACGCGGCTTCCAACGAGACAGGAAAAGGAAACCCCTCCTGACTGACAGCCAGAGGGAGGGCTCCCATCCCACAGCAAATCCCTCGTTTCACGCGGAAGAATAGTCACGACAAACTCCGTATTCAAATAATATTCATGCATGGCAGATAACAGAGTCACGGCTGGCAGAGCTGCAACATGAATATAAATAACCTTCGTTCCCCCGGCTGCTGCTGCCAGTGCCACTGTGCCAGGGCGTGGGCAAGGGGCTGTGGGAGCAGGGCAGGGATAGGCATGCTCCAGTGGATGCTCTGAGCTCCACGTGCTGCCCCTCTAACGAAGCCCCTTTCCCTTGAGCCCCCCACTCAGCTGGAATGCTCTCCCATGGACTCCCAGCAATGCAGTCCTCTCCAGACACCTCCTGCCACCCTCCCAGGGTGCCAAACGGATCTGTGGCTCTCAGGGCACACCAGCATCGCTGTGAGGTCTTGCTTTGGACCAGACCTAGTTTCCCAGGCTCCAGCTTTCTCTGTGTCAATGCTCCTTCCTTTCCTTCCTGACCCTGTGCTCTTCCCTCAATCAGCTCCTTCTTTCCTTCCTTAAACCCACATTGGGCTCAGGTATTACCCTTCAACCCAACAGCCAAGACCAGGTGTTACCTTCTAAGCTGAGACACAGCCTTGAGGATGCTTTTGGACTGTCCCATCTCCTTCCCAGTTCCGATTCATCCAGCTGGAAACAGGAGATGAACACTCAAAGGCAGCACATGGGCAAGAAGCACTTTGCATGTACAGTTGCAATGGTGACAAGTGCCAGCCACTTTGCTCAGCAGTGGGGACAAAAAGAGGACAAAATTCTGTGGGCAGAATTGGCCTCAGTCAGCTGGAAAAGCTGGATRTGTTGCTGCTCTGTCTCAAATGGACTCAAAAGCATCAGAGGGCAGCCACAACACTCTATTCTTCCCCATGCTCACTGCAGATCAGCTGCTTACTTGGATGAAGAGGGAGACGATGAAAGTCGATTTCCCTTTGTGCTCATGGCAAATAATTTGGAGAATTCCCCTTGTTTACTCAGAACTGTTAATGATGCGTCAGAAATTACCTCGGAGATTGTAATTAAAGAAAACGGCAGAAGAGAGAGCGACACACACACAGAGTCTAATCACAGCTTCATCTGTGAGTCTGGAAGTGCTGCAGCTGACAGCAGCTTCTCCATCACCCCAAAACAGCAGCTTTCCCCTGCAGAAGGATCCCCAAGAGCCCCCTGAAGGCAGAAGTTCAGGGGTGCAGCCCCCAGGCCCTATAATGCCCACACACTCCTCTTGAGCTACAAAGAAAGCAGATACCTGGTGGCTCTCCAGGTACCCAGGGGCTGGTGAGGCCACAAACCCTACTGGAGGCCATCAGGAAATGAGCAGGAAGCTCAGCCCCCTTAAAACCATTTTGGAAGTGGAGCAGCTGACCTAGAAGAGTAATTAAGCTCTCAGTCATCACCGAAATGCAGACACCCACACACACCCAGCAATGTGTCTGTCAGCCCCCTGCCAGCCTGACCTCTGCTGGGGCTGGAGCAGAGCACAAACAGCCCTTTCTCATGGAGAAGGGAGAGGAATTTGATTCCCCTTCGGATCCAGGAGGGTGCCTGGATTGCCTAATCACTCAGGGGTGACTGCTATGGAGAGGCAGTCGAGAGTTGGTTTYCCAGCACTTCCCTCCCTGCTCAGTCCAAAGGCCAAATCCTCTCGYTTTGGCTTCTGGAGCACTTCCACGGGGTGAGCAAAGCTGCTTGTGCCAGGAGAGCAAACAGGGGTCAGGCAGGGGAATCAGCTCAGCTAAAAGCAGCCAGCTGGAGAAAAGCCATTCCCTTTCTCCACCTTAGCCAACGGCTTAGTTCTCCTAGGGCTCATTTCAAGCACTGGATTAGGAGAATGGTGGAATTGCAAATCCTACGAGTCCCAAATTCAAGGCAGAGGAAGGAGGAACAAGCTGGGTCATCCTCATGGTCACCATCAGCACTGGTCAGGGTGTACAGGAGCTGTGAGACTGCAGCAGTGGCCTTCTCACTAAAGCAAACCCTGCAGCAGGTATGACCATTGCCACCACAGGGCCCTGGGGTTGTTCTTTAAGCACTTTGCTATCACATTCCTGTTCAGGCCAGTTTCCTGCCTATTTTCAAGGTGGATGAAGGTTGGAGAAGGAAGGATTGGATGTGTTTGGATGATGCTGCCACCATCCTCCAAATCCATGCAGACCAAACTTCTTGGTGTTGGAGAATGAGAGGTTGAAAAAATGACAGCCCAGCAATAATGACAGACTGGGATAGCTCATCAGGAAAGGTATTTCCCTCCTTCAGCAGAKGTGGTTTCAGCTCCCTTCCTCTCAGCTGGCAGCCCACAGAGGCAGGTTTAGTTCTGGGGGTTTGCTGCTACTGCTCAGTCCAGAATAGGAGCCCTCCTCCCTCCCCTCATGTTTACACACAGCCCCAGGAAAGAAAGGACGAGTTTCCTGACAAGATCAGGAGGGCGAGGCACAGCCTGCCAGCCCTGTGGTCAGCATGTCCCCCCAAACCAGTCTGTCTTCCATGTRGTGACAGAGCCTCCTTTGACCCGGTGACACCACAATTCTGCCACTCGGGTCACCCAGGCCACAGCCCAGCTCTGGCAGAAAAAGCTCTGCCTCTCGTGTGTCCCCCATCCCGCTGGCCAGGCTGTGACCCCACACCCTTTGGGACATGCGTGGTGCTGAAGCAGCAAGGGGGGAACTGCACTCACCTGAGAGCAGGGGTGAGTGTGACACCTCAACAAAACCAGTGAAAAACCCCTCGGTGCCATTGCTCCCCCTGGATCTGCACGTGTCCTGCAGGCTCTGGGCAGGGGAGCTGCTCCATCACAGGTACACCAAGCTCCAGAGAGGGATTGTCAGTGCTCACAGTGACCAGGACAGTCCAAAYCCAGTGTCCCAAACTCACACTGGGATGCTGAGATTTGCTCCAGCAATTCTTTATTGAGCAGAAGCACATGCAGGTACACAAGAGGTGTCCCACCACTTGTAGACACACGGTCCCCATTGARGGCACCAGGAGGGTCCTCAGGCACTGGGTGCCACCCTGAGCACATCCCTGCCCGGGCCGGAGAGTCCCAGTGCCACCTCGTGGGAAAGGGACGCATCGCCTCTGCTCTGCCGGCACCGCGGAGCAAAGCTGCTCCGGCAGAACCCTGCTCCTGCTGGGCACCGGGACCGGGGACTCCCCGGGCACCTGCCGGGAGGGAGGAGTCCATACGCACCAGAGGAATCACGAATTAACCTGATCTTTCCACGGCTGCCTCCATCCCTGGTGCCCAGGCTGACTGAGAGGGTGCACACAGGGCAGGCTGCAGGCACTGCACTGAGGGAAGAGAGGAAACACCCCCTGCAACAGCCCAGAACCTGCTCCTCTACCCCTGGGATCACCAAGGTGAGCCACAGCACCCCTCAAGGGCACTGGCTGTCCAGGGATAGGGCTCARGAATTGAAATATTGGTCCCAGAAGACTCAGGGGTGAGACAAACCCATGAACTCCCTTGTGCTCCCAGTTAGCACAGTACAAGAGTTCTGTACATTTTCATCACAACAGGCCATAGACAATGAAAATACTGCTTCACTGAGCAGTCAGAGAAATAAGGAGGCTACAAATCTCCCCCACAGAGGGAATGAAGCAGTGAGCAGCCCCTCATGGCTTGGAGAAATCAGCCTACGGTACCTTCCAAAAGAGGTTTGGAAACAAACCACTATTGCTGAAACCACTGTGRGTCGAGAACATCCCACCCCACAGAGGTGGTTCTGCTCTCTGCTCCCCCCAAATGTGGGGACTCCAGTTTGCACTGGTGTAATGAGGGAAACCATCAATCCCTCTTGCCCCAGAGCATCTCCCTCTCTGCAYCTCTGATCCTCTCAAAGAGGCACARCACAAGCAGGAAGGGRAGGAGGGACAATGGCCYTGCCACAGCCCRGTGCAGAGCCCTGGTGCAGCCCTGGGGACAGCATGGGACACCCTGGGGTGCCATGCTCTGCCATTCAGACTGTAATGACCCCAGCTTTGCTTTCCTGAGCTGCCAACAAGGCTGAACCAGCTCTGAACTAGAGCCAAAGAAGGAAAACAGTCTTGAAAGTCCATCTGCTGGGAAAGGTATCCCTGGGCCCCACAGCAGGGCCAGGGGGATTCACACTGTCCCTCTGGTCAGCAAACCTGCAGTCTTCATGTCAGGGGGCAGAGAGCTTCTCACAGTCCAGGAGCTCCAGGCAAGCAGCACTCAGGAAGGACCACACCTTTGATGGGCCTCTTGGGGTCTCTCACAGTCCAGGAGCTCCAGGAGAGCAGCACTGAGGAAGGACCACACCTTTGATGGGTCTCTCTGGGCCGCTGGGAAAGGAACATCAAGCTCCTGAACTTTACTCTTATTTTTTCTGCTTCCATATTTTGGACAAACGGAACTTGTTCTTCTTCCTCTCTTGCTCCTGGCTGTCAAGAGATCCATCTGCAGGAGAGGGAGCAGACACAGAGCAGGTTGAGACCCACAGCTCCAGTGCCCCCCAGGGCTGCTCTGTAAGAGGAGAAAGGGCCCTTACCCAGCCTCTGGATCATATCTGCCAACATCTGGTCCTCCTCTTTCTCTCTGTAATGGAACAGCCTGGTGTTAGAAAACTTTGCTGTGTTCATGACAAGCTGGTAGACACCAAAACACACTGAAATACTGCTCTTATTTCCCCAGTCAGAAAAGACTAACCTGCACAGACTACCCTGAGAAAGCAGCAGGGAAAAAACCCAACAGTTAAGAGTTTTAGACATTAGCAAATTCCATCTGGTTCCCTTGAAAGCAAGGGCCTGTGTGGGGATTTCCAGACCTTTTTCCAACTGGCTGATGAATCATCCGAGCTCATGGAGTGCTGAGGCACCACCACACGCAAGGAAATGAAAGTTGAGACACAGTAGGCCAGGGTTCTGCAGAGGGGCTCACTGCCACCAGAGACAAGCACTCTTCTATGACCACCTTGTCCTGGGCAGCACAGAACCCACAAGCACGAGGTGGTGCTCTGAGGAATGGAGGGTGTTCTCAGCACCAGGAGGCACACACCCAGCTACTTGACACACCAGCCTTCCTTTGAACTTGGGAAGCATCCAGCTCTTGGCTACAGTTTTCTTTCACTTGCTACAGAGCACATTCCTGACTTCATATTCCCAGATTCCTCCTGCATCTCCCATGCTGCCTCCAGCCTCCCCATCACCAGCCTCTCCCTCTCTTCCCCCACATTCCACATTTTCACAGCCCTTGTTCCCACAGCAGCTTTAGCTCGAGAGAACAGGGCTGTGGTCCTGATCTCTTTCCAGCAGCTGCCAAGGATGCAACGACAGCAGCATTTAGGACAAGATGGTTGATGACAGGTGACCACCCACCTCTCACGGAGCAGAAGTCTGGACTACAGCCACTGGTCCRCCCCTACAGCCTGGGCAGCAGTGCAAATATAATGGAAGTAATCCCTAATGTTGGCTCATTTCCCACCATCTGAGGGCCCTCACCTGAGCCTGTCCTCATCCAGGCAATCCACAATATTATTCCGATCATTGACGACGTTAAGGTACGACTCGAGCAGCTCCTTCTCTTGCTCCTTCTCCCTGGGGGTCTTCAGTTCCTCTGCACAAGACAAGAGAAGCCCATCTCACAGCTACAGGCAGTACCTCCCCACTGTGGCTCCTGCCTCCACCCTGCTGCAGCAAGCCTCATTTTATTGTCCTCACACTCAGGGGCACAGCTCCATCCCCTCCCAAAGCACAGGAGGGCTGGGTGTTACAGGGGATGCTCGCAGTGCACCCACAGTCTGTGACAGTGCCTTCAACCCTGAAGGACATCCCAGGGCTTGCACACCAAGTGGAGGCTCCTGGGCCAGCAGCACTCCCAGTGTGGCCAGTCTTTACCTGGTTTGCTCATGAGGCGTCGCAGCTCTATCTCAATATTCCACTGCTCCTCCTCCAGGTTCTGCTGCTTCATCCTGGAAGGAATGACAGAAGTAATGAGTTACTGCCCTGCCATGCCCCAGGCTTGGATCCTTCTCCTGTCATGCTAAAGTCTCATCTCTGTGTTGCCCAGGCTGGTGGGTCAGGGGGAATCTTCCTCCATCACATTTCTGACATTTCTCTCCTCAAAAGCCCCTCACAGACCCACCAGCTAATACATCATGATTCTGGCAGTTCTCCCAAAGGCATCCTCGACCCTTCTCATCCCACCAACTGGCACATTACTTTTTGGGGCTGCCCCACTCCCTCTCCTCCACTCCTCACAGCTGAGGTGCACAAGCAGACGGGTGAGTTTGTGTTTGTACTCACTTGTACATCAGCTCAGATTCCTGTCTGAGCAGCAGCTGTTTCTCATGGATCAGTTTGAACCAATCCACCATAAGGGCATCCTCGGACTCATCTGTAGAGGAGACAAAGGGCAAGAAGCTGCATCAGGTCAGTCYCCTGCCTCAAACACATAATCACCTTGAGGGAGAGCCTAGGATGACTTATATGAGCCCCAGGAAACCTCAACAAAACAGGTGATTTTTGGAGCCCCTGGGTACAAGGGATGCAGGTCACTCCCTCATGGATCCTCTGCTACAGGACACCCAGCTCACCTTCCACGTGTTATGAAACAAACAGAGGAGGTTCAAAATTTCCTGAGCTTTATCTTTGTACACCAAGCACCTCTGGCAAACTGGTGAATCGTGTAGCCTAAGCTCCCAGAAATGGAGCCAAGAGTGCCCAGGGGTAGGACATGAGACTCACACATCCCCAGCACAACAGAGCTCCTTTACCTCCCTCGCAGGCACGCAGCTGCTTCTCCAGATCCACTCCTTTCAATTCYAGCTCATCCAGCTGCTTCTCAATGTCACGAACCTTCTCCTGGATTTTCTCCTCAGGGAGGTAGTCTGGGTGCAGCTAGGAGAAAAAAAAAGCAGGACCAAATAGAGCTCAGTGCCCTCAGAGCTGCCTGCTGAGGACACAACAGAGATGAGAAAGGGCATAAGGAGCCCAGCTACAGAGCCAGAACTAGGGAGGGCCAGGTCAGAGGTGCAGAGCTGGCTGCTCACAGCAGAGCTGTGGCCACTGCAAGGCTGTGACACATCTGCTGCGAGTGGCAACTCCATGGACAGTGGTCAGTCTGCAGATACTCTCCCTCCTTCTTTGGGGAATGCAATGTCCACCATGGTTTTTTGGAGCTCTGTCTCATTCCAGCTCCTACTGTCTCCCTGCATGGGAGATGACTGGCAGCCTCTCCACTTTTCACCATTCCCAGAGCCCTTCACCCTTTCCCTGGGTATCCAAATCAACCTTCCCAATAACAGAGAGATATATCTGAACAAGCACTCCAGAAGGATATCCAACAACCCAGCCTGCTGCCCTTACACCTGGTTTCCAGCCATACCTTGGTCGGGGACACCACTTGAAGTTTGTCTTTGCTTTTCGTAACAGGAAGTTTAACTAGAAGGGAGAAAAAAAAATCAAACAAAGAATGTCACTACAGCCTGTAAATGATTTTATGGTGTGGGACAGTGCCTACACCACCAGAGCACAACAGGTCCCACATACTCAGCAGAAGTCACAAATGACACACATGCATTCACATGCCTGACCAAGGTAAGAGCCTGATTTACACCTTGTGGCTTGTCACTCAGGTCAMAGGTTGCTGCTTGCATCCCCAGGGTATAGACAGTCACCTAATTCAGGTGTGACTTTGGAACTTCCAYCCAAGAATATTGACTTCCATGTTCATTCACTAGCTTGTCAAAATCCAAAGGTATTTTTTGTGGCAAAACCCATCCCTTAWTAAGCTTCCAAAGGATAGCACAGACAGACTGTTACAGGAAACACCAAGATATACTAAAAATGTCCCTCTAGTGCTTTTTTACAAACAAATATCAGTAAATACTGATGAAACAAAGATGGTCTAGGGGACCTCAGTGTAGATCTCAGGAAACTAAGGTTCAATTCCTCCCACAAAACACTTCCTAGGTGAGAAGTCCCTTAGGCCCCACTACACTGCATTATTTAGGCCCTGGACACCTATTAAAATCAATCCTTAAGCAATGTGTATTTGTTCCWCTGTGCCTCAGCTTCCTCTGCCCAACTGTGCTGCAAGGATAACTACAGAAGAGTGTGAGGTATTTGGATACCCGAGGGGCTGGGCTGGATAATTACCACAGAGAGAGAACAGAGGCGTACRTGGATGATGTGATAAGGAAGGAAAACTCAACTATCAAAGGAGCACGGCAGCAACAAAGGCAGCAGCGATGCAGGCTCAGCACACACAAGGAGAAAGGCAGGACAGACAGACTAAGGGAGCCTCCTGAGAATCTCTGGCAACTGAGGAAGAGCTCAAGGACAGCTTTCCAGTCATCCAGCCCTTGCTCTGTTGTGCTTTCTAGGAAAAGTGCAGAAGGGGAAGATGCTGGATGTGGCTGTTCCCACACTGCTGGCCTCTGTCAGGGATTTCCTCCCTTTGGATGCTGCTGTTTTGCTGCCCTGTGCACTGCCTGAGCTCACACTTCTCTTCAAGGTTCCTCCCAGAGGGACCGGGTCTGCCCTGAGCTGTCTGCCCAAACAACACTTCCCTCTCCCAGCTCAGTCCTGCATCTCTGGGCTCCTTCTGAGTGMCCACTGCAGCACCTCCCAGCCAAGGCAGAAAGCTGCACCACTGATGGTGAGAAGGCCACGGTCACTGGAGGGGAAGAGCCTGTAAAATGAACCCTGTGACCATCTCAGGATCTGATATCCTGGTATCAGGATACCCTCAGGTTCTGGCTTGACAGACACAGGACGGGTTGGCTGCTTGCCASCAAGCTGGAAGTAGGACAGTTGGCAAGAAAACCCTGGAGCCTCCTTCCTCAACAGAAAAYACCACTGACCACCAAAGAAAATGAATGATGGGATAAGGGAAGGGGAGCCAAAGAAGCTGAGCAAACAGGACAGCAGCAAACATCAGGTTAGCTCCAGAAAACTTCATTAGCATTGTGGRGGGGTATGTCAGAGCAAGGATAACGAGGCAATGGAGAAGAGGTGCACAGTAAAGCTGTGGCTGAACAAACAGGAGTAAGAAACTGGATTAAGAGTAGGGACAAACTGGTTGGGACATCTTTGAAAATCCTAGAACCAGCAGCCTTGGCTGCTGCTCCTGTGGGTCCCACCAGCTGGAGCCTCTGGCTGTCAGCTCTCTACATTCCTTTTATTTCCTGAAGCCACTCAACTGAAGAGGAACAGAGGCATCAACYAGATCCCAGTTCCCCAAATTAGGAGATGGTCCTCTTCATAGCACTGAGTCTAAAGAATGACAGGGCAGTGACCTTGAAAAATTCCTATTTCAATTTCTTCCTTTCCCACTGAATTCTCTGGCCTTGCTGTTTCTTGCTTATGCCAAGTTGGCTAATAAAAATTAATAACACAGATTTTTCCCCCATGACAAYAGCCACAGGGTTAGCCCCAAAAAACTCAGGGACACATATCCCGTACTGACCACTCAGGCTGTTCCCTGACAGTGCAGAGGAGAGGGTGACTTTAGTAGGCACAAGAGATCTTACACGTAGCAGTGCTTGTCTTCAACTGTTTGCCATCTTCCTCCTTCTTGGCAGAGTCTCCAGGATCTTCCCAGTCTTGCTTTGAATTCTGACAGCTCYTGATAAGATCTGAGCTGGGAATCAACAACTTCTTCGTGAATCCAACAGATGAAGCTGGATTAAGAAGCACAGAAAGGTTTTGGGTGAGAAATTTCAACCCTCATCTCATCTCATAAAAATCCCTTTATTGTCCAATGCCTCTGGCACTCACACTAGCCAACTTCATTTCTAGTCCTAGCCCTCATCTCTTGATGATAATGAAGGGCATAAACCCAAAGTAAACAGGGGAAGAAAACACTGATTACAAGCCCAGAGTAGAGGAGAATAAATATTTGGGAGGCGAATAAACAGTTGGGAACCATCACCAAGATTTCTCAACATTACACAAACATGCAAGAGAGATTAAGTGAAATCTTGCTGTCTGTCTTGAAGAAAAATGGAACCCTGTGGAGAAAGAGGGCCTCTCCTTGGGGAAGCATGGGAGGCAACCCATCAAAGGCACAAAAGAAAGGCACCATTGGGCCAAACACTGTGCAGAGAGCAAAGCACAATTTCCACCAACACATTCCTCACACAGGCCTTGCAGCACTAATGTTTGTCCCCTTCCTGATGAACAAAATGAAGGCAAAGCTTTTATCCTTCATACCAGAGTCCTGCTTTGCTGGTGGGACAGYTAATGGGCTTGGCTTTGTCTCCTTGGGTGCTGGGGTCCCTGCTCCCACTTGGGAGTCATCAGCAGGTTTCTTAGAGCTATCTTGGTCCCTGCAAATTAAAAAAAGAAAGGTAGGAAACCATCCTTTTTTGCAGAATGGTCCACAGGAGAAGTTCTGGACATCCTGGTCTGGATGTCCATCTGGGATGGTCACGATTGTCATGGAAACCCAAAACCCAAACCAGCTCCAAAGACACTCACTTGCTGGCTACAGGCTTCAGTCGAGATCTCCACCCTGCTGGGCTCTCAGAATTGTCTTCACCAACATTTGTGCTTCCTGAGGAAAGGAACATGGAGAGGTAAATAAAAATAAACAAAAACATCCAATAAAAAGAAACAAGCCAGATTTGAGTCTCAGGAGAATCTTAGGAGATAAGCCATCCGCTGGGGCAGATACTAGGATGTTATTGCAGCAAACCAGCACCAGCTCAACAAGTTTAACAGGGATAGATTCAGATACAACAGGTAGTAAATAATCTCAGTGGCATTTTGGGCCTTTCAGATCAAATGCTTTAAAACCTACCCACCCAGCTAGAGAAATACAGCCACAAAGTAAATGAACAGACACATTCAACAGCAGTGGAACACAAACAGCTCAGATCTCAGYGACAAAAGGATGGGGCAGGAAAAATGAGAAACAAAAAAACCCACAAAGTCACAGCAAACTGTACACAGTGCTTCTGGCCAAAAAATTTACAGGCTGCCTGAGAGTGCCTGAGATACTGGGAACCTCCAGAATATCATCCCTTGGCTCACTGCTAAGTCACCATGGTGGAATTTTGGTTCAAAACAGACAAGGAGGCTGGGGGTCTTCCAATTGCAATCAAAAATCATCCCAAAGTTCTGGCAAGGTGTCCCATCTGGGAAAGTCTACCCAAGCCTCTGAAAACCACCATGTTTGACAACAGCAAGTACAAATTCAAATACCTGGAGATCCTCAGAGCAATAAAACTCACTGTGCTAGAGGGAGCAATTGCACAGGGATGAATGGAGGAATGTTGAGCCCCAGAAAACCCTTACGTGGTGGTACAGACAGAAAGGACAACAGTCATGGACACATCTGCTGGACTGGTCCAAGGGGAAGGCATAAAGTTTGAGTGCTGTGTCCAAGCAGAGCTGTGTGAATCACTCATCCTTACCTTTGATGCCTTTTGACTCTGGCTTGTGCAAAGGGTCAGCAGGTTTGCWGGCAGCCTGGCTCTTGGGCACAGGGTCTGTCACCTTCTCCTGCTTTGGGGCTGTGTACCCTGTTTTGCTGGACTGTGCTTTTGGAGCTGGACTCTGAGAACTGAYGGGAGAAAACTTGCCACTGCAAAAAAGAACAACTTAGTGAGTGTTTTTGAAAAGATGGATCTTTTTTTACTGGCCTCTGTTCCAATGATCTGTGTATGTCCCTCCACACACCTTTAAAACTSAGCTGCAAAAGCAGTCAGGACAAAACAAAGGAAGATGCAGGGGTTTCTCCAAATTATCCCAAGAAACATCTTGGCAGTGAAAAGGGAAAGAGAAATAGTGCTTACCTGCTAGGTGCTGAGGAGCCAGTGGAACTGAGTCCTSCTGGCCTGTTTGGAGAAGTGTTTGATCCAGACAGAGCCTGTATAATGTGGTTACGTGCCTGATCCTTCTCAGCATTCCCTCGACTGACCTCARCAGTGGTTCTGGCAGGGGCAGTTTTATCAGGGCCACGAGGAAACTGGACTTGTTTTTGAGTGTCAGAAGTTTTATTGCTGGAGGTCTCCAACGACCGAAAAAAGTTTTCTCGGGCTTGCTGTGTTTTTGTTGCAGAAGATGTCCAAGGAGGCTTTGATGGGGAGTCTTCATGGTGATCTGTTTTCCCCAACAAGGCACCTTTGCAGTCATCTGATTTATTTACAGCTGATGAGGACCATGGAGTATTTACACTTTTGAAGCCAGAGCTTCCAGAAGATGAAACAGATGGCTTGGTTGAATTAGCGAGGCCTTCCTGGCTGGGTTTCTTCAACACCTGCTCTGGTTTCTTGGGTTCTGGTGCTTTCTGGAATGCCCTGGCAGCAGCAGGGGCTGGGGTAGTGTCAGATTTGTTCCCAGTACTGTGGAGACCAGAGATCTGGGTGTTGCCTGGCTGCTGGTGGCTGGTACAGATGAACGTACCGGGCTCAGGCCCGGCTTTGTAGCTYCCAGGAAGAAGCAAGTTCCAACACTGCCTGCATCTGTGGATACAAACATCTCAGGAAACATCCTCCAGAGTGCTGGGAGGCCACTGAAACACAGCTGGGAGTGCAGGCACAACTCCACCATCCACAGGAGGGTGAAGGTACCACACTGGCAGTAAGCAGACCCTGCAAGCACATTCCTCAGGCACCAGAACAGGAGCTGTTGATAGCACAGCCTGAAGCAGGAAAGGTGTAAATGAAAACAGATTTGTGCAGAGTTTCCCGTACACTCAGGTCAAGAGCAAGCCCAGATTGCTTCCACTCTAAAAAAATCATGCCACACCACTCTGTTTCCAGCCTCAAAAAATAACAGGCTGGCCCTCTGTGACCCCCAGAGCTGTGCCCCACTTTGAGGAGCTGCTGTACCTGAAGCAGTTCCTGTGATAGAGCTTCCCATCGACCAAGTAGCGCTGCACCAGGTGCACGTGTTTGCCACAGACCCCACAGCTGCTGCTGGGGACATTGCCACTCTCTGCCAGGACCCGTTTCTGTGGGGAGAAGCAGTGGGTGAGCAGRCAGGACCTGGACACAGCTATAAATCTCCCAGGCAGGTGAGGATTTGGGATTCACAGCCAGGAGAGAGAAGTGACATCCAAAACACCCCTTCCCCCTCTAATCCATTTCTCCTAGAAGTGGAACAGCCCTCAGAAGGACAGAGTACGGGCACTATGTTCCCACAAAGCCAGAGGATCAGGGTGCTCTGTCTGCCTGATTTAAATTAGCTGGGAAAGGGCTTCTACCTTCTTTTCACCCCTACTCTGCTTTGAAACTGTTTCCAAGAACTGAAKCAATGTTTTCTAACAAAAATAACACTACATCCTGTAAAAATCTTCATCCCCAATATCTAGGAACAGCATATCCATGTCCTAAAACACCCATGTCCAGGCTGTCTTACAGTTTTCCAGTGACTCCCACCTCAATCTGTGCCAGAACCTGACCTCTGGATTAAATCCCTTATAGTGAGCAGAAAATCAGAGACTAAGTCCTTACCACCAGCTCAGCACTCTCTATCTCCCTGATAATTTAAGGCACACAGAGCACCCAAACCCACATTTCTTACYGTGGTAACTGGGGAGGTTTCCTTTGGCTTGGCTCTGGCTGGTGGGTGGGCAGGGGGCAGTTTTGGTGGCACTGGTTTAGGAGGCTCTGAAGCAGGTTTCTTCCCAGGATGCTGCTCTGGAGATTCAGAGGAAGGACGCTTGATTCCAGCCATGCCTCCAACTGGAAGAATGGAAATTTTTTAAGGAAACATAAGGAAAACTCATGGGTTTAGGAGTAATTTACAAAATAAGAATACCCAGAAGTGCCTGATGGGTAACATGCAAAGCACATAAGGAGACTCAGACTTCCTTCATGAGCAGTTCTGTACTGGATTGAGAAGYAAGAGGAAACAAGCAAATTGCAACAATATTCAGCCGAAACTGCTGATTTTTCTCTTCTCAGGGAATTTCATGAAAGGGAATGAAAAAGTGAAGAAATGCAAATAGCCATACATAGATGGTGAGAACAAGAGCTTGGGTTTTCAATTCCAGCCCATGGTTTGGCTGGAACTGATCCCAACTGAAACTGCTGGAAGAGGCAGAGGTGTTCTGGCCAAGGATCTGGAACACAGAGGGTTTGTTTCACTCAAACTGCTGTGCTCCAGACTTCCTACATACCCTGAACCTTCCTTGCATTTTGTCCACCCCACATCCCAGCTGGGACTCCCTCGGAGCAGACAGCCTTGCTGAATGCAGAAATGACCACTARAAATGGGTAATTCTACAAAGACTTGGAGGTGCCATAATGGCGTGGAAATCAAGACTTGCCACAAGAAACCTGCAAATGCCCAATTCTCTTTTCTTTGCAAATGAAATAGAAAAGCTCAAAATTCACTACAAGTGGAGAAAAAAAGAATCTCCAACATTTCCATCAAGCAGGGAATGATGCCCTCTGCCCTGGGAAGTGAAACTTCCCTGGAAAATTAAACTTCCCTGRGAAATAAGGCCTCCTGCAAAGTTTTTACAGTCACAACCCCAAGTGTCTCACAAGGATGTTATTTCTGCACCACTTCCTATWCTGAATGAGATGTCTCTGTGCTACTTGTGGGATATTTGAGCCACAGCTTCACTTTCCAAGTGACCACTTAAATGGCCACTCRTCTGAAAAGAGATTATACCCTGCTCAGTAAACACAGAAAGGGCAGGGAGCAGAGAGGGAGCCCAGTTCCCAGCAGTCTGWCCTCAAGAAAGCCAACTTATCCAAACAAACACCCAGGGCTCCTGCTGCAGGGACCAGGGGACAGCTGACCCAGTAAACAGCTCAGCCTTGGGCTGCCCCCTCACTTCCCACTTGTGCCATTTACTGAATTCTCAAAGCCCAGCACAAAGATGGGTGGCTTCAACTCCACTCTTCCACAAATGCATGACCTCACTAAAACATTGTGTGCTCACCCTCTCTGTCCTCCTGTGTGCTGCTTATTTCATGGTCCTGCTGGAAGCCATCTGAAGGGCAYGACTGTGATTCCATGATTCTGCTTGGTGTCAGAGGGCACATTCCAGRCTGGGCTCATTTTCAGTTATTCACATTCACCCCAGCAACAGGAATGCAACCCAAGTGTTTTGTGGGACACTGGAGAGTATAAAAATGTGCTGTGCTTGATGGCGTGGTAGACAAGATGCAGGGGGGAGGGGGCAAAGACCCCAATCTGACCCAGATTCTCATCACTTGGCACAAACATGATGRAATTTGTTTGATTTCAATCAGAATGGTTTTAAAGCAAGAAATAAAAATAAAGACGAGGAGGGGAGAAGTAGTGRAAGGAGAGAAAAAGCAGGCTTAAATGTGTAAAGAGGTGGAGAAGTAGAAGAGTTTAAACATAAAAGGCAATTCTGAGTGAATTGTGCTTTCTTTCCAAGATGTAGGACATTTTCAATACATATCTCTCCATTTAGATTCACTTTAACCAGTTAAGTCATTCATGTCCCACTTTCGAAAGTTTCCTCTAGAGGAACCTGTAAAATTGGCTTATCATATTATTTCATTTTGTGTGAGCTTAAAGCCAAATATAAACCAAGACTACAATAATGCTCCTGTGAGCCCAGATAAACTCTCCAGCACGTGAATATAATGCCTTGGCAGCTCTGTGGCCCGTTTCATGTTTGACAGAATTTCCATCACAATTATGTCAGTGAGGGTGATAATTTTCTTCTCCTTCCTTCCATCAGTACTGTACAAGCCCTGCCATTGATGCTGCTCCATTGGCACAGCCTCAYAAACAAGCTCAGCCTTGTTCTATTCCATGTTCTCACCAGCCCTCAGGCGTGGCAAAGACTGGAACAGAGGTGGAGGTGTTTGAGAATGGAAAGTTGAGGTGGGGACCATGCAGAGGAACCTTCAGTGCTCCTCTCTGGCTGGACCATAAGAAATTTTAGACTGTTWTATTTTAAGGCAGTAGTTTTAAAGACAAGACATGACCCTGTACCTTTCCAAAAGCACTGGTGCAACTGTAGGCTGGTCTGCAAAGAGTTCAGATCCCTCATTGAAATAATTCTGGTACCAAAAAGGCCTCTGTGCAGTCTATTTTGCTCATCCAAGCTTGTTAGGAGGCAAGGGAAAGCATGAAATGAAACCCTGATCCTTCCCACCCCTTCAGGGAATACAGTACTTACTAGRAGACCGTCCATGGAAGTAGTTATAATACTGAGAAACATAGGTGAGGATGCTCAGCCTGTCTGGCACCTTCAGAGCAACCATATCCTCTGCATCCAGCAAGGCTGGGATCCCCAGCTCCTCCTCTGCCACTCGAAATGCCTGGAGAAGGGAAARAAAAATCAAAATACAGGGGWCTTGTCCATGYCAGGCAGCAGAGCTGCTCCTCATCRTAACTAAGAAAGTGCACTGCAAACAGCCCCACTCARATAATAACTCTAGTGGGGAACAGCTGCACCAGTTTAACTCCTACATCGTAGGAACCAACAGAGTCATGGCTTCCAGCCACTGCCTTGAGAAATCCAGGCAAGGAGCCAAAAATCYGGCCTGGCAAGCTGGCCATAGCTCACTGCACAGTAACTCACCTGGGCTTCCCTTACCCTTCCTCCAGCCTGCCTCTGTCTGTGAGAGCACAGCTGCAGAGAGCCAGGCCTGGCAGAAGGGGATGTGTCAGTCCAGACTCATTTCCAGGCTCCCAGCCCAACCTGGAGCACTCTCCAATTAATGGTGGGCTGCTAGGTGCTTGCAGGCAGATTTCATCTGAGAGCTGGGCAAATGTTAAAGCTCCCTGCCTCCTACCTCCTGCTCTTCTCCATCTGAAAATGGGAAATTTTGGGCAGCAGGAGGGAYCCTTCTCTCCCAGACCAGAAAGGAGAAAGAGAGGTGCAGATGAATTCCTGATACATAGCTCCCTTCCAGCTTAACTGTTTCTATGCTGCCTAACATATATTTGGGGTTTGTGGTGTCCTCTGCTTTGAACTGCAGGTAAAGGAGGCAAAAGCTATTTTCTCTTGCCTCTGAACAAAAGCCTTTAATAGAATACCAAAAAAATTACAACATCCAAACTACCCCCTTGCTAAGCTCACTTTAGGGTTTTTACTAAGGACCTTCTCCAACACTGTTTGTTCCCAGCTTAAGGGAAAAAAATCCTTTCCCCCCGTCTTTAGAGCATCCCTGCTGAAAAGCCAAGACAGCAAAGGAAAACAGCATTTGCAGGWCCAGAGGCACAAGGAAGGCTGAAGTCCACAGTGAAAGGGTTAAAAAAAACTTGAATATATTAAACCCCTCCGCATCTGACCTCTGGCAGGGACACACACAGCGTTGGTGTACAAGCCAACCATTCCTGCTTAGAAGAAACAAACAGCCACTATTTTGCAGCATGATAATTACCATTTTTTTCCATTGGGTATCCCAGTAAAAATGTAACAGAGCTGACATTAAAAATGCTTTCAGCCAGTTACCACCGGCTGTATCATCCCAGCTGCCAGCCCAGCYTGGCACTTTCCTGTCCTGTAAACTGGTACTTAAAACATTCCTTGGAGTGTTCCCCACTGCACTGGCTGCACAACTGGTCTGACCAGTTGAGTTTTCTTGTTGGACATTCCTGGTGTGAGGTTTAGTGGGAGCACAGCTCATGCCACCTCCTGCCACGGGTGACACCAGGGCAAGGGGCACACAACAAATGCGAGGGGCTGCCTGGACCAAAAGAGGARGATGCTCTGTGCACCCAACTGTTTGGCCAGAGCCAGGTGAGCAGTGCAGAGAGCAGCATTAGCACATGGTGACCCTGTTCATGCAGCATCCTCGTGTTCCTGGGAACTGCTCTTGCCTGGAGACCCAATGGGATCACACAAACAGGACCCAGTTGCCCCTCTCCTCTACCTGCCTGCCCAGGCTGGCCTTTAAAGGACCAAYATGCTGGTTTTGCATCGTGTTTTTCATCAGTGCAGCTCCAGCTGCCTTCCAGGGGCAGTAAGTGTCACCACTGCCATGTCCATGTGAAATGAGAAAGTGATATACTTGAGGCCACCTGAGCTGGCCTGGCACAGCTTCCCTCTGGCACAGGCTCTACCTGCTACAGCACACCACCATCCACCKGYACTRAATCCAAGCTCTAGAAACTTTTCTYCTCTCTRTAAATTTTTGAAATCTCTAGCAAAAAAAAAMCACCACCAACTGAAATTTTTCAAGGGTTTGGGGTTGGTTTTGTGGCACTTGAGAAGTGACASATTCTTCCTTGACAGAAGACCCGATGTGGCAAATTGCGGTTTAAACAAGACTTTTCTACATGCACAACACGGCCCTTGAAAAGAAGTCTTTGATGTGTAATGCATCAAGAAGGTCTGGGCAACAGCAGAGGAATAATGCTGGGAGAAATCAGAGCCATTTACCCCAAGGACAGCCAGAGCAAGAAGTGTAGGAGYTAGGATGGAGAGCAGCCCACGGGGGAGGCCAGCCCAGGAGACCACAGAGAGGTGGAAGGTCAATCCCACTGACAGCACAGCCAAGGCAGCAGGACACCAGCARTGAAAGGACAACACAGACAAGTCATCCCACAGCAGGTGGAGCAAGGAAGAGAGAGCAAAACAAAGGACATAAAAGAAACTAAGAAAGGGGGAGGAGGGGACACACAGACTGCAACAAAGGAGGGGAGTGAGTCTTTATGAGAAGCACAAAGAAGCTTTTCATTAATAAAAGCAGCGGAGGCAGCTCACAGAGCTCATTTCCCAGACACAAGCAGACACCATCAGCCCAGCTGGAGAAGGAGCAACACTCAGGGATCCTCAGCACTTCAGCCAAGATACCCTTYCATGGCAGAGAGGCCCTGACTCCTGCCAAATACCAAACCTCCAGGGCAAAACGTGTGGTCTGAATCTCCCCTTGAGGAGAGGAATACACAGAACTGAACCCCAGAGTGACAATGACTGTTTACAGGCTGCAGCCCCAGCCTGGGCACAGGGGGTCTGCCCTGGGAGCTGTGGACATGGCCAGGGATGAAGGGGAGAAGAAGCCAAGGAGCCATGGGGGGACAAGCACAGCTCTCCCAGAGGCAAGAAGCACTTCAGCCAGCTCACTGCCTGAGAGCATGTCACTCCTCCAGCCCAGACAAGAGTAAGCTGCCATGGTTCGGTCATATCCCAAGCTCCTGCCAAGCAGCCATGAAACTGTGTGGAGCAATGCCAAGGGAAGAGAAGTGTTATAATTCACTGCCTCTCCTTTTGTGATGGAGAGAGGGAGTAGAAAATCCTTCCTTGGATCACTAAGACCACACTTGAATCCAGTGCAGGTGGGGGTTGGCCTGCCTAACGTCTATTTTCTGTGTGGAAAGAACATGAGAAACTCCAGTGCCAGGCAGGACCAGGTTTTAGGATGTGTCCACCTYGATCACATACATCAGGAATGAACAGAAGTGAGAGGACAGGACACTCCCAGTGTCTCCCCTCTCACCCCAGCTATTTCCCAGTGCCTGCTCCATCCCTCAGGAGCATCTCATACTCAGCATGTCCATGTTTTGACCTCTAGCACCTCTGCCTGAGCTTCTGCTGCCACAGAACACACTGGTAACAGGCATCACACTGTGGTGTAGCCAGCTGAGAAATCTGAACAGTCTGAAGGTGCCTTCATGCACCCACCCAGCCTGGACATTGCTGTTCAAAGTTGAAGGCTGGAAGGTGCAGAATAAGGCAAAGGATTTGAACACTTGCCACGCTGTGTCTGCAGGGTTTCTGCTGCTAAATCACATGAGCAAAGTGCCAGCTGATGAACTAGACCAAAAGAAAATATTAAAAGTCACTTACCAACTTGTTGTTCTCGTACACATTTTCTTTTCTGAGGGAGTCAAAGTTTCTGAAATACAGCAAGAAGAGAAAACTCTCAGGTTGGTGATGTAGAGTGAGCTGTTTCACTTCCAGCTTCTGAAAGCTCTCAGAGCCTCACTGTCTCAGGGGACAGAGCTCCCCATCCCACCCTTGGACAGCTCCAGAGAGAACAGCATGGCAGATCCCAGTTGAGAGTCACAGACCTGCTGTACCAGGGCAAAGATGGGCAGCCAGTACAGGCATCAGCACACAGACAGCACAGGACAATTCTGGCACATCTRTCCTTGCAGGGCTGACTCCCAYAGATGCCTRGGGACAGGACATGCTGAYGCCAAAAYGTCCCTGGCAGACTGAGGGGTTCCRCTGAAACAGCCAGGAGCAACCTCTAACTCATGGRGTGGGTTTTTGACCCCCAGAAAAGCCTTGCTTCTCTCCCACGTCAAAAAGATACACCAGTGCCTGCTGGCCACGTTTTAACACTCTTCCTGAAAGTACTTTCCAGTCACATCCATATTCTTCTCCTAACTTCAAAGTTGTCTCCACAAAGAGAGAGCTCAGCTCCAAGGAGGTCTCTTTTAGATCCCTCACACACTGCACATATCACATGCTGCTCCAACACACCCATATCCTCTGATCTCAAAAGCTCCTGGGTCCAGCAGCACATGAATTCTGGCTTCAAATCCTCTTTTTTCCTCTGGCAGAGCTCCACAAAACCAGCACCAGGAATCTGCCTGGGAAAGCCTCTKCCCACACCATGCTGCATCTGATAACACCAAAGCTGCCAGTAGAAATCTTATTCTGCTTTCCCTAGGGCCGTAACTTTTGATTTGTGAACATAATCAGTAACTGAAAAGGAAGTGACAATTACTGTTTGCAAATTCAAGCCAAAGTCAACAATTCCTTTCTGCTGTTTCCAGACATCACTTCCCTCTTCACCTCTCCCCAGATCCACTTTCCCCCTCCCCGATCCAACCCAGATGCTGTGCTGGGAACTCAGAACCTGGGAYGTGCTGGGACAGGGATGAAAGCAGAGGAGTTTGTGCTACTGGAAGTCGAGCCACAGAGTGTGTCCCATGCTTAGGAAACAGCCATAAACAGCTTTTTTTTAGACTGACTGGCACTTGCTAAACAGGGAATACAAAACTGGCTGTTGGCTGGCAGCCCTGCTCTCCAACACTGCTTCCTCCTGCCCAGGCAAGCGGGCAGGGTCAATTCCTTTCCGATAACCCCCGTTTCACTTTACAATCCTTGTATCTGCTGGCACCCAGCTGAGCGAGAGGCTGATATCTGAGAGGGAATTCTYACTGATAAACAGAAAACAGCACCAACTTTTGCATTTTTTGCATGTAGCACCTTTACATCTGATGTGGACCCATCATGTTAGCCAGTCCCTTTCCTGTGGGATGAGCCAGGGTAACTCTGAGAGCCAGGGCAAAGCTGGCTCACAACRACCTATTCATGAGACAAACACATGATCTGTATCGCAGCAGGGGAACTTTTTCCACTGCAAGGAGCAAGCCAGGTCCTTTATCTACTCAGCACAGAAAGTGGAGCATTACATCATAAATAAGAGAGGCACCTGAAACAGGCTTGCTCATCATGCCACAGCCCGTGCCTCCTCCATGCTTCCCACATCTGGTATTGTTATGTGGGATAAGGAGAGGAAGAATGTCAGATAAGGTTAAACTCCCCCAAAGAGCACGTAAATACAAGGCACATCCCACCTTTAAATCATAGACTCTTTCCTGTGCAAAATCAAAGGGAATTGTGGAGGTTTTTCTTCAAGCAGTGCTCCTGACAAAAGATTTCCCTTCCCCAAGACAATGAGTTTAAAAGAGCAACAAAAATAATCATGAGCTAAGAAAGTCAGTGAAACAATAGATACAACCATCCTTGGGTTAAGTCAGGGCAGAAAATTTTTTTTTTTTCCAGAGCCAGCTGAAGGAGGTGATTTCAGCTCTCTGACTCCTTCTCAGTTCTGCTCCCAAACAGCAGCAGGGAAATGCAGTAAAACACTGAAAGAGCAAAGAGGAGCTCCAGCTTTCTTGGGCATTCTGACATGTAAGACACTGGAATTACCATTTATTGTCGGTCAGTGACCTTCAGCTACACTCAGTGCTGTTTGCTGTGGTGGTGTGTGCATTACCTGGCATGCAGCAGAGACCTGAAAACCCCAATCTTTTGATGGTGAATGTCTCAAATCCCTTTCTATTCCTCAAAAGAGAGTGCAAACAACAAGGTTACTTGGTCATTTCAAGAGYCTCTTGACCTCTCAGCATTTCTCATTCCCTGGTTAGTCAGGTGAACTGCTTACATATATTTCTTTTGGAAATTGATCTTGCTGGTGCATCTCCTGTCTCAGAATATCAAAGCTCTCTGGACCAATGTAATCCTAAGACAGCAAAGATAATACAAACGAAGAAGTAGGAGTTCTCCACTGAGAAAACACRGGCAACTGAATTAATTGGAAGAGGTGAAAAATATAAATGTGACCCARGAGAGGGCCTCCAGTGTTGGAAACAAATCAGACTGGAATTCACCAGCAAGGGAACAGCAAAGAAGTTTTTAGCTCCCAAAAAAACCGCTTCCTTTAGCAAAAAAGTGGCTGAACATTTCTTATGCCCACAAATCTCCGTGACCACCCCCTGTTCCAGCTGCACAGACCCAGCATTCACAAACATGCCACAGTCCTCTGCAAACATGTGCTTCTATAGGGGGAATCTCTGCTGTTGCTGCAAGCACTAACTTGATTGGAAACTTGACCTTGGAACAGAGTGAGCAAAAAAAAAATCCCAGAGCCTCAATGGCACCAAAAAWGTTTCTGCTTTTTGGCACTTTTGTGCTATTTTCTCTGCAGACAATGACATGTGCAGTCAAAAGGAACACTGAAGAAGAGGAGGCTCACAGTCCTTGGACAGGGGACTCAAATCCAGCGTGCTCTGCTGGGAATGGAACCTTTCAGCTGCGCTCTTTCTGGAGGTGTAAACCTGGGAGGTGGGACAGGGCTGGGAATTCCGGGCAGGAGATGTCCCCCATGTGCTCATCCTCCTCTCAGGAATGCCTGCTCCACCCTGCCCTGCTGAGTGCTGCCAGGMTGAGCCCCAAACCATCCTCCCCCGGCCCACGCCTGTCACACAAACCACAAACTCACCAAGCCAGGCAGCAGACTCTGCCTCACCCCAGCCTTTTGCTGAGGAGATGGGGACTGCAGACAACCCATTCCCAGCAGGGCCAGGGTGACCTCACTGTGCCCTGCTGAGCTGACAATGACCTGGAAATGCTGMTGGAGGAAAGGGCACTGCTGCTGCTCAGCCAAGGGGGATTTTACCACCATCCCATTCCCAGAACACCAGCTTGCAGTCTGGGAAAGAACAAGATCCTGGATGAAGAGAAGGATCTTAATCAAAACCTTTCCTTGACATCTGGCATTAATATCGGAGTGAACGTGCACAGCTCCCTGGCCTCCTCTAACTCGTTTATCAGGACAAGGCCACTAAAATGGCTGAAGCTCACACAACCTTCACCACCACATGTGGCAGCTGCTGACCTCAGCCTCCCCTCAGCCTCCCACCATGCTGCCACGAGGCTTCATGTCCCTCTGACAAGAGATGTCCCCGGGCTCTACAATCACCCCAGAAAATGGGCTGGAGCCTGCCTGACACAATGTGTGTGCCCAGCCGAGACTGACTCTGAAGCACTCTTCATCTGGGACAAAAAAGAAGTGAATTTCCATGGTAATTCAGCATGGATCTCCACTCTCCCTGAGCATCCTTGCATGAGTGGGAAGTGAGTGGGAAATGCATTTCTAATTTTACACAGCCTGCCCTGTTCACTGGTAACACACAAGCCAACATCAGCSAAGTTCAAGAGAAGTTATCATATTTTCCATATGTTTTCCAGCAAGAAAACAGGAAGGAAGGAGAGACCCACACCAGCCTGTCCTCTGAGCCACACAGCCCACAAGAGAAGCCCATGATTATGTCCATGTTTTGAGCTTGAAGTCTGCCTGGCAATTTTTCAGGCTTCTGCAGGAGAAATCCCCTGCACTCAGCTCAGGAATGTCATTTGTRTAAACCAAGACAGAAAACACACTGTTGCAAAACTCTGACTCAGTCATGTTCTGCAAGAGATTTATGCAGCAGAGCTGCTGCAAACACACCAAGTGCTCCAAACATCAACTACACCTTTCTAGTTTTACTTTCAGTCTGATGTTTTTAATCTTTAACTGGATCTTTGGTAGAAGCRAGGACAGGAGCCCAGGATGGACTCCTGGGAAACAGGATCACGGACACCCAGCTGCACTTCTCCACTGCTGTCCCCTGCACCAACAACACTCAGAGATGCTTTCAGGGACACGTGGAGAATCTCACGGGTGTTTCGCTCCAGGATCTGACACATGGCACCCAGCAGCCCTGAGCACCAGCCACCTGAAAGCATCATTTCCTTCCAGCAGGACTTTGCCCAGTCAATGATACACGTGGTGCTTTCCTGTATTACAGCACTGACACTGATGAAGTAGGTCACAAATAAAGGCTTCCCTCACTTTAACCTTCAGGYAGCCCTTGCTGAGCTGGTCCAAGCCAGAAGGAGTTTCTGTAAGGTCCCAAATAAAGTCAGGCAGAATGTCAGCCATAAAAGAAAATGAACAAGAACAGAGAGATGCCTCAAGGAACATYCTCCCTCTTCAGCACAGGACAATTTATTTAAGAGATATCTATCCACAACCCCTGTTGCACATTTCAGGGATTATACACAACCAGGATGATTCCAGCTCTCACATCACTGAGCCCCTGTGCACAGCCATGCTCCGGATGGGCCAGCTGCAGGAAGCAGTCACAGCCCCTCCATGAAAACACCTCAACCTTTCTGCCCCGGCACTTTGTATTTTTGGGACTGTGAATCAAAGGAAGGAAAGGAAATATTTGGAGTCACATGGATGTGACAACATGTCAGGAAGTCATACACAGCAGCACCACGGTGACTGCCCAAGCACTGGGACAACAAAGTGTGCCTCGAGTTCCTGCACAAACCTCCTTCCCAAGTCTGCTCCAGTTTCTGTCAAGTTTTGAGACAACACAGGAGAGAAAACAGGAAGGGCTCTTCTCTTGGGTCCAACCAGAAGCAAGACATTTGTAAGAGGGATGTGGCAGGCTGTCCTGGGAGCACGAAGAAAAAGGCAAAATACATGGGACAGGGGGAAAACTGCAGTACAGACCACCCTAACTGCTCCACATCCAGCTGGGCATATCTGACTAGAACAGACCCAAAGCTTAAATCAGTAATCCTGGGCACTCTTTTCAGTGCTCCCTTGCTTTAATCTTCCCCCTCAATCTCCCCATCTCAAAGTCCAAAGAGCCCAGAATGAAAAACAAAAAAACCAAACCCAAAAACCAAAAAGCCTCAACTACACAGCAGGATCTGTATGACTCCCCTTGTTGGTTTCACTTTCCCAGATGTCAACATTGGGGAGGGACAATTCCAAAATSACAGGGCACCAGCAGTGGCACCAGCAAGGCATGGAAGGCACTTAACCACCCACAGGCAGAGCTCTAGATGGGAAAAACAAGGATGTGCAGGAATCCAGTGGCTGTGGGGCCCTGCCCTTTTACTGCATTTTGTTTAAATAGCCCTCGCCTCGCCACTYGTGAGTGCTGTGCTGCTGTCAGACTGAGCAAGGAGAGCCCAGCCAGAGCAAACACAACAGCAAAGAAGGAAATGCTGCCCCAAAGATTGGTGCCTGAACCTGTTTTACAATGGAAAGGATGCATTTAGAACATTTACAATCCAGCTACTGAGGGAAGAAAAGGGAAAAAGGAAAAATAGATGGAAAAAACCCAGCATGTAGGTTGGGAAAGCGGAGCTTTTCTCTTGGAGATTCTGAGCGTGGGTGTGAGCAGAATGCTGCTGGTGATGTGCCCACAGGGAGGGCAGGGAAGCTGGAGGGACTGGAGTCACAGTGATGGCCAGAGCCCATCCACAACTTGATGGATTG